CATGAGCGGTAAGTGAATACGATCCCCGTTAGGCCTACAGCTCCTTTCGACTTTGATGTTACTGTTACGACTCTGTCTAGACAAACTACAGGGCCATCTCTTCTCGTCATGAGGCTGGCAGTCAATGAGACTGCTCTGAAGGCCCCGAAGCCTCCCTATTTTGCTAATGGGGCAGTGATGATAGTAACCGCGAACGCTTCCCAGATCTGCAGAAAAATGTCACTCGCCAATCCATCAGAACAAAGCATGAACAAGCTAGATTATCTAGCCAGTATGCGCAAATCCTCGAATTCCCTTCTGTCCGTGACTCTATCATCAAACAGCCCGATAGATTCTACATTGCCTGGCTGGAGCCCCTTATCCACAGAATACAACAGCAGCTCGTCTATCCCCCATGGTCTCCGGAGACACGGCGGCAGATTTTGGGCCAGCTGTGAGAAGGCGCCGGAAAGAAATATCGTCACGCCGCCGCCAGGTAATCTGGCGGATTTTCCAGCTGCAACAATCAAACCATCTAACCTCGTAGCAGAGCGCAAGCCTGTACAGGTTTTGCTCTCGATCAGAGGCGACGTTGGGAACTATGTTCAAGGAGTTCGTAGCCAGCCTTCGCCCCAGGGAATCGGCCTTCCCCCCGTCATTGACGGCTCGGTATCCGTCGCTGACGGAGATAGCATCGAAAGGGGATGGAGCGTCGATTTCTATGGCGCGTCTGATAATAGAGTAAGATACGGCCATGGAGTAGGATGGAAGGATCAAGAGGACGAGGTCATGACAGAAGGTTGGCCGCGGAAGTATGTATGCTGCATTTGTTCCTTGAAATGGAAAGCTACGCCCATACCCGACACTCTGTTCCTTGAGCAGGACAGGAAAGCCCTGCGAATAGTATGCGTTCAGTCACCCTTTCCTGTTGAAATCGAGTCGCTTACAAGAAATACAGCCCAGTCCGCTGGATACCCAAAAGGATCCGGGGTTCACTCGACCGCAAGCGTCTGAGGTACGTCAGTACGATGTTTGTGTGAGTGGAACGGAAAGCTGACAGAAACTTCGCTGCAGTTATACTACTATCTTGCTCATAAAACCACTCCGGCCGACTTTTGCGTTCGCGGCTCATGCCAGACTTGCATCCCGGCTTCCTCACTTCCATCATCTCACTGCTGCCCACCCTCAGAGACAGACAAATCTCGACTAAAGGAAATATACCGGTGCATCATGGACAACTGTCAGTTTCTGACAGACAAACGACGGGACCTGAAGGTACCAAACCCTGTTCAGACGCATGACCCCCCGTTCTGGCTGACTCAATGCTAGACCCATCTGACCTCTTCGAGCATCCAGAGTCACAAGTCTTTCCTAGACCAGCTGTATGATCGGATTATACATAGAGAGGCTCTCAGTGCAGCAGAAAGAGAAATATCATATCGATTGATGGTCTTGTTTAACGACCTGGACGCTCGTATGCAAAGGTCAATCAGCGAGCCTGCCAGCACGGTTCTACTCCCGGATCACATCAGTAGCCCCGCGGTTCCGCGAGAGCATATTGAATGGATATCGTACCTAGGTCTACGTGCCTCTGAGACATACCGCGCCTACTTCTTTGATGATATCTCAGGCCAACACTACTTCCGAGAGTACGATATGAGCGACGACGGTACAATTGCGAGGCCGCGGATCGTTTCGCACAATACAGGCCGGCCTGTGAAGACCTCTAGGTTTCTTCTACCCTGAGGTATCGCATATATCCATCTAATGTACCTCGTCTGATTATCATTTCATTACCGTAGACATAGAGAATAATCCACCCAACCTTGAGGCTTCGACGTACCTGACCTCCAACCCTTCGGAGGGGAGGCGCATCTTGACAGTGCCAGACCTGGATATTTAGGAACCATCATCCACAAAGGCCGATGAGAAGCTAGAGTTTACAATTCTGGGGTACTGCTTTGGCAAGGCAGAAGAGGGTCTTCGCGAGGTTCTTGAGACTACAGGGTTGCTCAAACACCCTCTTAACGGCGGGCATTACTTACTTTTGAAGGATGAACCATGATTCTGCTCGAACGAATGTCATGCCGACTGTCCTAAACTTTCTCACTTTGATGTCCGGCTCTTCGTTAACTGCGGTCTACACGTAAAATGTACATCTGAATGAAAACTTGAACCCGAAAGTTTTCTCTTTAAAGGCGACGAGAGGATGAAGCTATGGCGACTTGGATGGAGGGAGATCTTTCTGGTACGCTAAATACTTCCTCCCGGGCCCGTGGATATGACACTGGCGTCGAAGGAATCAATGTAGCAAAGAAATTATGAGGACTCCACTCACTGCATTGGTCGGATCGAGAGAGTTCTGGAACTGGCGTTCAAAACCAAACCGTTGACTCTCCACTGAAAATCCGCCAATAAACAGAACTGCGTGGCTGCCGCGCGCATAGTGTTTACTCAGGGCTGCGCAATAGAACACCAGCAGATCTTCGCCCAATGTAATCTCGGTATTCGTTGCCTCCCAGAGTTATTGTTCACACTCGAAGTGGCTTAGGTCGGTGAGTCGGGTAATGCGTATATGTACGTACTCCGAGCAAGACGGGGGTCATGGTGGCTTGCTGGCCTATCTTGTAGCAGCATTAGCTCCAGAAGCTCCGGCGGGGGTGTTTATGAGCCGAGTAACCCCCCATCAAAATCATCTACTTGGCAGGAGGTCTTGATTTCGTTTCTGGAAGTAGACTGGGGTAAAAATGGGAAGAAGGCTGGGAGACACAGCGGCGACGAGCATGCCGGTATCAGAAACCTGTTCGCGAGTATCCATGGTTGAAGCGATATGAAAAGCACCTAAGGGTTTGAGGAGCACTTTCAAGGCCAGACTGGCCAGCATCCTCAGACTGCTGGACTCATTCAATGTGAAACTTACATTATACCACTGGCGTTGAGAGTCCGGCATATATCACGGATACTGTTATTTCCGTCATCGTACCAAACTGAGAGAAACCCAGATTTCAGGGCCTAGGCATGTGCCTTGTAGATGACAATGTCCCTGAATCCCCGGTTATCTGGACTGAGTGCCTCGTTACTACCAGCACCAACTGTCTCTCTCTGATTGGTTGGAGCCTCGGCGCTCTTGATATAAATAAGTAGCTTTTTCCTTGCCTCGGGACTTTTCTGGAAGTCGTACACGCCACAGGCTCCTCGATACGAAGGCGAAGTCTACCATGTCAGTAAGCTCTCAGCTCTCTATAACTACAATCTAATGATCTGCCAGGATTCGCCAGCGCTGCTGGAAACATAGAAGGAGGTCAGCTATGCAAAGAATGCGTACCTGCAGACGAACCACGAATCGTAAAAGTAAGTCGAGGTCTTAAGGACTCTCTGATCTACTTTGTTATCCCTTCACGGTCTTAAGAAAGTAAGGACTCGAGTTAGACTAGCAATAAAGCTTATTCATTCTTCATTCTCATGGCGGGGGCGAGCCAGGCCCAACGTCTCAAAGCCTTTGGCAACAAGAGTGTATCCATGAAGGACGTCCTGACTTTGAAGGGTGAGCCAATGAAACCAGATAGACGAAGTGGTACATCATCGGCACTGAAACCACAGTCTTTTTCTAGCTTTATACGGATTGATCGGGCCGGTTGAGGTGCTGATGGCTGTGAGGCTGGGAATTTGGGCGGGGTTTAGCCGTGAGCCAGCCGTTCATTAATCCAGGCAGCCACTGCAGCGTACAAGACAGGCGATCTTTCATGTTCATCTGCTTCCATTGGCGATACTAGCGGCTTTCCTGTGCCTGTCTACTGTCCGAGCCCGCACTCGACTTCATGTGTGCCCTTTCGCCACTTAGAACTAACAGTATCGTCTCGCTGCTTTACGTTGCTATCGGATCGCTTGCACCGAGACCGTGTATATAGCGGCGAACGCTTGAGACCTCGCCTACGTTGAAGTGTGTACGGATAGACGCGCGCTTCCTTGCCCTTGCGCACTGTTTCGGGCATGTGTCTTAGCACATCTTCGTACTCCATAGCCCAGGTGTCAAGACTCGGTTGGAAACGTGCGATAAAATCCAGAGGTGGTGCTTTCTGGTGGGAGAAAGGCAACCAATGGTCATTGGAAGCAACTGCTTGAGAGTATTCCCAGGACCTCGAAAGAGAACATCTCGTGTGGGGAGGAGCTTCTATACTTCTCGAGACGGTTCAAATTGTTTGAAGACCGCCGTAAGAGGACCAAATTGATTAGCCGTACCATCAAACAGTGACAGTATGTATGGCCATTTATGGAACGTTCGCCGATGGTCTTAGTGCGCAGCGGTTCGAACAAGATCTACAAATTAAATGTTCGAGGTATTAACGATTGCTATCTTAGCCCCTGAATACGTCTTCGGTGAGTGATGAGGAACCAAGCTCGGCTCAATAACCGAAATCTAGTCGACAGGCGAACGTTTTCGAATGCACGACTGACCTGGAGAAATGGATAGAGGCAGACCCTAGTTGGGCGAAAGACCTGCATCATCAGGATCGGGATTAGACTGGGCGTTCTTGTACCTTGATTGACGTTTTGAGTGGGACGCAGATGTGCCGCTCAAGGCTGAAGTCTCATGCCCGACAGTTGTCTGGATGTTACATATAAGATGTTACCATTCTACTCAGGCCAGTTCGATTCCTCGTCGTTGGCGAGCAAACAGTTGTAGCAGGTTGAGTCCTCACAGGCTTTTGGGAAGGATGGATTACATTCAGCGTTCAATGGCTAGTAATCGACGCCACCCCCTCCATGTGGCTCAGGTGCGCCACCCCCACCAAAATTGGAACTTGCGTGCTTGTAGTAAAACTGGGGAACGGCGGGCAAGCCGCCTGTTGAAAGGCCTTCCGTTAGGAAGAACGTTACGATTTCTGACGCAGCCAGGGTGAGTTTGGCGAACGAATGGGCGGCCATATGTCTGGAGCAGTAACGGAGTCATACGTATACATAGTCGTATGACGCCGGCGGTAGAGTCGCCCAACCAAGAAGAGAAAATTAGGAAAAGCAAGAATCGGTTCCGTCGTGATTCGGACCCAGGTCTTCGGTGTTGTCAGAGGATAGCTTGCAAGCTGGAGATCTTGTGATACGAAGCATGGCGGCTCTTGATGTGGCTACTTCAAATGGCACAAGTGGAGAAACAGGATGCAGCGAGTTTTCGTTGACACTGCGGGATGATATTTGACAACAATTTGCCGTGAGGATTGAAACGAACATGGACGAGAAGTATAAGAGACGAGATGATGTGTACATGGAGAGCTTAGCTGTAGTAATTCGCTAATAAAGGCAAGACAGCCTACTTCCTTCCGCGTAAACTCCTCCGTTTGGGCCGCTTGGTCGGGCTAGCGCCGTCGTCGCTGTCGTCGAGGACCTCAATCTCCCCGGACCGCTTCGAGCCGGTAGCCGGGGCTTCATGAAGTCCGTTGACCGAGAACGGATCATAATTACTGATAGCGGTGCCTAAAGCTCATGACGTTCGCGGTCCTGGCCTAGACTATGAGGCGAGCAAGCTGTCAGTCACTTGATTTGGACGAGGTAGCTGGCTCCTTCACATCAGCGATCAATTGGCCAAGACAATTAATGATTAACTTTCCCCCGCCACGGCTGGGGCTCTCTGGCTGGTATGGTGTGGCGAGCAGATAGTGGGTTCT